TACCCAGCGTTTCGATCCTGGATTAGTATCTTCCACAGGGACAGTGTTCGGAAAAACTCAAACTCAAATTGATCGTCCTTAAATGACGATAGTTCGTGGAACGGATGAATCTATTAAATTAACTGAAATCGATCCCTAACCCACGCATGAAATTTGCAAAGTTTCTGTGCATATTTAGGGATTGCTGCCAAAACTAGGAAAAACACATTGACAAGTGTTTGTAACATGTTCAACTATTTAAAAATATGGGCAAGCAATTCCATGCGGTAAGTCGCAATAGTGTCCGCGATTCGTACACTAGCAAATTTTGATCTTTTGTCTTTCGTCTTTTTGTCATAGATTCATTCTTCAAAAGGATCAAATCTGCGACCAAAGGTCGAAAAGACGAAAGATCGAAAGGACGAAAGGTCAAATTACAAAAGGTTGAAAGGAAAAAACAGCAACAGTTGTTTGGAAAACTTCGCAATAATGGCCTTACAAACGACATAACTGGTCACAACTGTTAACGACGGTGTTATTTTTTAAACAAATATAGTATAGCTTCAGCTCTCCCGAGACCCTATTCCAAGCATGGGGTTTTTCTATATAAAATGAATCAGAAATCTATCCAAAAGATTCACTATGATGTGAAACTTTTTTTTTCTCTGTTCGGGACCTAACACCTCTGCGACCAGTAATTTGATCTATTTTAGTAAATCCCGTGTCCCTAGTTTAGTGCATGTCGTATTACTCCATCACTATTGAAAAATGATGAAGTATTCGATATTTTTTACAGTTGTCATTCTTGAATTTATCGCAAAGATCCGATACCCTTCGGAGTGTTGAAACACCCTCCAAAGGTGCGCCCCTTTGTCAGTCAAAATTGGATTCACAGGAATGTCACAGATAATGGCCAAGCATCAGAACCCTAGTCTTAACCACTTCAAACTAGAATAGAAGTGTTCAACCAACGTTACGGGGCATGTGAAACATACTACTGCAAAAAAAAAATGAGCGTTGTAAATTATTGTTTACCTCATGCTTGGAATAGGATCATGAGGGGTCCGAAGCCGTTCTCCCTATGTAATAGTTTAAAAAATGGTGGTTACCATATAAATCGGACACACCTTCAAACAAAATTGGTCATGAATCGAATAGAATAGCACAGCTTCTAACGAACGAAGACAACATTTGCTATAAAATTGGAAATATTTGTACTGCCGTCATATTTGTACATTAGACTGATGCAAAATTTGAAATTTTCGCTCCACAGTGCTCAAACAGATTCAAATCAGGTCCTGATTAGCCTCCCAAAATTTAAACTCATTTGGTAAGAAACTGACTTGGCACAAATCATTCGAAGTTTATATGGAAATTACTATGAGAAAACCCAACTTATAACTATTCTTACGGGAATGTTTCTAAACTACAACTTTTCGCAATATCGTTTTTCAGCCAAATGTCTATTAAATAAATAAATAAATAAATAAATAGTTATTAATTGTTTAAGAGATTAATAATCTTATGATATGATCAAGCAGCTGTTCTGTTAGCAACACTGTATTCTGCAGTGTGACATAGTAGCCATGATATTTGTGCTCTATTCTTCTCACCAGAAACACCAATGTTGCCAGCTGAACAGTTGAAGGAGCATAATCATAAGACATCAGTGACTTGAATAATTCATAGCTTTTGTTCCGTGCATTTGATTGAAAAGTAGTTTTTAACAAAGTTGTAGCTGAGAAAATTTGCACTGCTATCATTTTTAAAAGTACAGTGATGTGGTGCATTGTTAGATAGATATAAACGTAAACATAAGTTTTCCCATAGTAATTCCCATTTAAACTTGAAATGGTTTGTGCCTAGTCAGTTTCTTACTAAAGTAATTCAAATTTTGGAAGGCTAAGAAGGACCCAATTTGGAACCGTTTGAGCACAGTGGAGCGAAAATTTCAAGTTTTGCATCAGTCTATTGTACATCCTCGCATCAGTCCTAAGTTATAACAAAATCAAAAACTTGCACATCACATTTGAAAATGGTAAGACGTTAAGTTGAAGTTTACCCCAACTTCCACAGCTTCTAACAAAACTGATCGTAACTTTTTACCAATGTCAACGAAAATGGATACAGCTTTTGTAAGCACCTGAAATATTTTCTAATTTAATTGATGTTGTACAGTTACCAACATATTGATCTCATGTAATATGTCCGTGACCTTTTTTAGTACATATCTTTGTACCTCATAACTATAAAACCGTAATGAGGTATTCGTTTTCGATACAGTTTATACTTGCTCTTCTCAAGGGCCACCCACATTAGATCCGTTTGCGTTGCGTTGACGTAAATTCCGATCCGGATCTAATTTGCGTGGGCCTTCACAAAATTCTCATTCAATTAATCATGTTTTGTTGTTTTTTATCATCCACATCCAGAGGGCCAGTCACTTTCGAATGTATGGGAATGGTAGGAAACCATTTGGAAATGCATGAAAATTTTCAGTTTTTATTCATTATCGTCTTTATGGGCAGTTTTAGATGCACAAAAATTGCCCGAGTACATTACTATGGTGATAAGGTAAACACTCGTTTATTTGTTTCCTTCTGTGAAAGCATGTTTAGTCACAAATCGTGGATTTTCTGATTTTCTCCATACTGCAAAAAAGATTTTCCTACCACTGAAGGGGCGACATCTCTAGGATCTTCAGTATAGCTACTATTCAAATCATATAATTAATTGTAATGATCCATATTGATTGAAGAGCTCTAGGACCTCTCCAAAGAAGTACCCTCTCATCAATCAAAATAGGTGTCCTTAGCGATAAAAACAAGGCGGGAAGGATTAGTAATGTCCATCCATCCTTAATTTAATATCCTTTACAAATATGCGTATTTTGTCTACAATCTGCAGACCTCTTCAGTGTATTATGCTAATACTCGATTAGTATACAAGACACTGAAGAAGTCGACACATTGTAGACGAAATATGCGTATCTCTCAAGGATAAGAAATCAAGGTAGTGGAATTAAATGTAAACTACTAATCCTTTTCTCTTTCTTTAAAAAGCTGTGATACTGATATTTGACTATGCATCAGAACCTTGCTCCACATCTTTTCTTGTTTCCAATCTCAGTTATTCGAAACATGCATGCAAAAAACTGAGCATCGTAACTGTCAACAAGATGATCTCAGGGCCAGCGTTCGGTGTGGTAGATCTTACACCGTAACGCACCACGAAGTGGTGATTAACCCGCGTTTCGTGGGATGTTATTGAGATGGATACATTTAACTTAATCAAGATCGCTCACAGCTTTTATTGCAACGCCAAACTTTTAAAGGAATTGTTAATAGTTTTTAACAAAATTAGCCAAATTTGCAACATAAATTGGCCACAACTTCGAATGAAATTGTTCAAATCTGCCACATCTTCCATAGAAATTCATCACAATTTTCAACGCAATTAACTTTTCACAATTTCATCGAAAACGGACAAAACATTTGAAGAAACTGGATGCAAGTCTTAAGAAGTCATGTTGTTTAAAACAAATGGATCACACATTTAAACTTTGTAAAACATACTTTTAAAATCCAGTTCGGCAAATCGTTTGTCTATCGTAGTGGCAGAATCTTTCCTAATTGGTGTGCATGAATTAGATGAATAAACAACACACAAAAAACTAATATTTATAGCTTCACTCAACACGTCGACATTGTTTCCTTCCTGATTACAAAAGCCAGTCAACCGTAGAGATCACACTTGAAATGACAGCCGCTGGTGATCCACCTCGAGGGGATACCCCGCTCGCCATCTACTAAGCTTCCCTCTGACTGCGGCGTCCTCATCATCACGCGTACGCAAAATAAAGTTGTTAGATGCGTCGATCTAAAAAGTTTGTCTCAAACCCAGCCCTAGCTATATGCCACAGGGAATCTTAAATTTACGTAGCCGCGCTACTGTGGTATGTTGTCTTGTGGGGATTAGAACCGGTAATTTAGATGACTTTTTATTTTTATACATAGGGCTTCATCGGGGATTGCACACCGCTTTCGACACAGGTTCATCTTCGCCTTTAGCTGGGTTTTGAGATCCAAAGCCTATCAGTTTGGTGCTTAAATTCACTTTAAACTGTTCACCAGGTTGACGCAGTTTGGTGATTGTCGTCGATTTGTTTGTCAAACTGATTCAACACTAGGAACGGTGCACGAGTTCACTCTAATTGGACACGATCGGGGCCCGGGAGCACCCGTCTGGAATTTCAACAAGCTAATTAACCCCATCGCCGTCCTGTGTTGTCATTCCTCGGCTGCCCGATATCATCTGTAATAGGAGATGTATGAACAGACACTCCCCCTAGCTATTCCGGAAATCAACACTTCAATTAGTGCCAGTTTTCCCTCCGGGTCATTTAGCCATGCAAAGACTCATCAATACGGAAATTAGAGCCAATTCAATTGCTTCCGCGGAAGCTCAGAAAAACATGATGAGGGTAAGTGTAAGAGAGTGAGAACATACAAAAAATCACGTAAATAACAATATTTACACCGTTGGTGTGAGTGCCAACACAACGCTGCTGGGTGGTGCCAACAGAATGTTTGTAATTTTTGTTTGTTTGTTTTGAGTTCAAATGTGAACACAAATTAAAGTAAATAAACAAACAAAATTCTGATGGTTTTAATAGAAACAAAAAAAAAAGTCGTCAAGATATGAGTCGTTTCAAGAGAGGTCGAAGATCGCCGGACAAAGACGACGACAGGTTGAAGAAGGGGATGGTGATGTAAGAATACTAGACAAAGCTTATTGCCACCAAGCAGAAGCTAAGAGGTGATTAATCCTGACCGTGCTGCGATGGTATTGTTTGACTTGTGCAACTGTAAACTATGGGATGCTTTCTACAGTTTCTGATTCACGCCTAGCAACGGGCCGTGTGTGGGTAACAATTTATGATTTGGCATTACGCCAGTTGGGCAAGTGTGTTTAGGACGAAGAATGGATGATAAGTTTGGTATTTCGTAGGCGGTACTTACCATGTTGGACCATTTTGTATCGTACTGCATGGGCCCGTCGGGAGGCGCCATGTCGTTGTTGGCGGCCGTTGGCGCCAACACTGGAAAGAAAAATGGCACTGATTAAGCTTATGGGTACGCTAAAAAATTAACACAATTGTCCAAAATTGTAGAACAACAACTTTTGTGTAAAGAGAGAGAGAGATGGATTAGTAATTTCCATTGAATTCCACTACAAGTAGTATAAGACACTGAAGAAGTGTGCATATTGTAGGCGAAATACGCGTATCTGTCAAGGATAAGCAAATAAGGTAGTGGAAGTAAATGGAAATTACTAATCCTTCTCTCTCTCTCTCTTTATACAAAAGTTGTTGTTCTAGAACTTTGGATAATTGTGTTAATTTTGGTTAATTTTTAATTGTGTTGCAAGATTCAAAATGGCAGGATTTTAACACAAATGCAAATGATTGATTTTTTATTTAGTTCATGTATTTGAAAGGTTCAGCGTTAGCTTTACGGAGCCGATAATTCATTGTTCATTGTTTGTGACAAAATTAACTTATTTCTATTACTAATGATTGATCATAACAAACAATAATGCAAAGTTTCATGCAAATGTACATAGCAACTGAAATGTAGGCAAGTACTACTTTTCGACACCCTTTTAAGTGCAAAGAATTGTGTATGCAATTCGTTGCAATATTCGATTTTTAAAACACTAGTCGTAATTATCTACTACAACTCGTGTTGAAAAAAACTTCTTTTTGCAACTTTTTGCATAAATAGTTTTTTTTTATGTTTGCGTCAACCATAGAAAATATTTACATTTAAAAAGTGTATATTTTTATTAGAAAAACGTCAATAATCTTGAACGGCAAACCGTATCGTCCTGTTTTGCACGGCGCCTTTTGAAAGCGCCTTCAAAAGTTCTAAAAGTTATCTGAAGACAACTTTGCTGAAATATTAGAAATTAAAAAAAAAATTAAAAAAAAAACTGTTTTTTAGAGAAACTTAGGAAAATTTCTCAAAATCGGTCAATTGGGTTGTTTTACTTTGAAAAATATACCGATTTTTATACATTATCTGATAGAGCTTCGTTTTCTGAGAACACGACATTTTTATTGATCCCGTAGACATTCATCTCGATTTTTAAATCAAAATTTAAGAAGAGCTTTGAGTGGGTTGGTTTATTTCCTTTAAATTCCGTTATAATTGCTTATCTTTTGACAGATACGCGTATTTTGTCTACTACTTGCAGACTTCATCAGTGCCAAGTACTCAACACCTCAAGGAAATAAACCAACCCACTCAAAGCTCTTCCTAAAGGGATTCCGTTAAGAGGTTCGACAAATTTAAAGGATTGATCAAGATTTAAATTTTTAATCGTTGACACTAAATCTATTCGTTGACAGCTCGCTCCCATGCAAAGTCCTACCAAGGGGCGCTAATATGGTGATTTTTGCATTTATATAATCGCATTTATTTAAAATATTTCCTGTGTACTAAAATTGATGAAATTTTGGATTTCGATTCCATTTTAAATGCAGATATCGAATATATATTTACCTCAATACCCCTAAACAACCCAATTCAAGAAATAGCAAAAAAGTTTTTTTTTAAATAAAGTTGCTTGAAATTAGCTGAACTTTAGGGGCATACAATAACCTTTAACTCCAACGCAGGCAACGACCGTAATGCTAGGGGTACGAAACTCAAGACTTTAATTCTAATATCAATAAAATATTTTTAAATATCTCATAAGTATCCTTAAGTATTTTTAAGTTTTTTTAATAATCAGATTCTTGCCTTATTACCATCATAGTGACCGGATTCTAGAGCAGTTGTTTGTTGTTGTATGCTTTGTCGATTTGTTACTTTTCGTCGCGTATAAAATTAACAATATCTCGATAACTTTTTCAAAGGGACTTATCAGCTTTTGTAAACAATGCATTTGATCGTCGATTTGGCGTAACTAGTAGCTCGCCCACGCATGCTAACACTACCATCAGATAGGGGAAATTTTCCCCTACCTGCTAGTGATGTTAGTAAGCGTATGCGAGCTACCAGTCACGCCCAATCGACGATCAAATGCATTGTTTACAAAAGCTGATACGTCCCTTTGAAAAAGTTTTCGAGAATATGGTTTAAAACCAAACCTAACGATAAGCTGTAGGAGTATGAAAAGGGCAAGCTCTTCATTAGGGTCACATTAGGCTAGGATATCGTGGCTAGGATGGCAAATTACAGGTGGGCTTCGATGTTTGAAGCGTTACTGGATAGATAATTGGGTGAGAATTCTAACTAGTTACCAATGGATTTTTTATAATTTAATATGCGTTTTTCACTTTAAGATTTCGCAACATCCATGGACCAGATGATGGTACTGTACTATAGCGGAAACCAGACGAAAAACGTGACACAGAGAAGAAGAAGCCAAAATTACCAATACGAATCATATTTAGCATTGTCCCGATACGATTTGTTTTTTTTTTTTTAGGAAAGTATTTACACTAAGTGTTTATTCATTTCATAAACCACATGTATAAACAACCATGTTTTAACACAACATAACTATTAAGAATATCTGATGAAATGAATGAGAATATAGTTCCATAATAAAATTCGTTTCGTTTTGGCGATATGTTGCTTATAAAATCATTTAGCAAAAGAGTGTTGAAAATTCCGAATTCGAGGATGTTTTGTCAACTTCTTGATAAACACGTTCGACTTGAAGCTATGACACTACAAAGTGCTGTCTGAATGCAGATTGTGCGAAAGTCCTTCAAATATATGGCTCAGCTTCGATCAGCATAAATAATTTCGGTTATCGACGCACGATCCTGTGACTTATTCCAGTAACTTGGCAAACGGATCACGGTTAGTGAAATGTTTGAAAGAACAAAAAAAAAAGAAAAATCATCGAACCACTCAAATCGTTTCCAAAATCGTAGCCATATTTGACGAAACATTCGATACGGGTACTGTTGAGGCAGGGTACACGACGTTAGGCATACGGTCGTTAGGCATACGGTCGTTAGGCATACGGATGTTAGGCATACGGATGTTAGGCATACGGATGTTAGGCATAATGTACGATAGACATAAAGGGCGTTAGGCACAAAGGACATTAGGCACAATGGACGTTAGGCATAAAATACCCGATGAATTCTAGAAGGATGAAAATGGGGACCGTCTATTGATTGCTGACATCGGTGACAATAATGGAAGAGCCTTAATTTTTTGGACTCATGAAAACTTGCGACGTCTTGGGTTGCAGATGGTACGTTTTCCACAGTTCATTATTTGTTTCGGCAACTCGTCACTGTTCACGGAAGTATCGCTCCCTCACATCAGCAGACGGTTCCGCTAGTTGTCATTCTAATGACAACAAAAACATAATCGTTGTATCGAAAAGTAAGGGAGGAAATCCTGGAAGCAGCAGGTATGTTTTTTGTTACTGAATGAAAAAAAAACACAGAATTCACCATTCTTTATTTCATGAGCTGTTCTTTGAGGAAAACCTTTTCTTCTTTGACAATTGCAATATGTGTGTAAGAATATATTACAACAAATGTGTAATTTTTTTATACATAGATGCGATTGATTTGAAGATATAGTTCAAAACTATGCTGTATTTTCATTGTCAGATTACTTAACCGGTATCGCTACTAATCTTGGATCTAAGTAAATATGTAGCTACGTAACTTATGATATGATAAATCGAGCGTAACTATTCAAATCGACGTATCTGCAGTTGTGAACAATCACTTCAATCGACGATTTGTCTTAACTGCCAACTCACACACGCAAACAAGCACCATCAACAGGTAAGGGAATCTTTCCTCTACTAGCTGGTGTTGTTAGTTTCTGTGAGTGAGCTAGCAGTTGTCACAAATCGCCGATTGAAGTGATTGTTTACAAAATCAGATACGTCGATTTGAATAGCTACGCTTGAAATAATGGATTCCAAACTGGGCTTATTAAATAAACTATGTTTGTATAAGTTGTATCATTCAATGCTTAGCCTAATTTAAGCATTGTTTACCATGATCGAAACAGCAAGCAGCTAGGTATTTTATGCCTAACGTCCATTATTCCTAACGTATATTATACCTAACGTCCATTATGCCTAATGACTTTATGCCTAACGTCCATTATGTCTAACGTTAGTATGCCTAACGTATTTATGCCTAATGGGGTACACTCGTTGAGGCACACGTCCTAACACACTTATGGAATATAAGGAATAAAAAGGAGAAACGAATTAAGCATAAAAGTTTTCAGGAAAAAGGTATGTTCAAAAAATTCACTCTAAATCCCAGACAACATCGAGTAAACAAACATATTTATCTAGCAACGATGGTTACGAACTAACGCTAAGTATTTTTAAGTATTTCTAGGTATCTTAGATATCAGTAAGGAGTTTTTGTGTATAACGCAGTAAATACAAAGTTTAGAGTGTGATGTCCCTAGACTGTAATGCAATTAATTCGATTGGCTACTGGACTTTTTTAAGTCCATAAATATTACATAAGAAATTTTGTAAATGAAGTACATTAATTAAATTTTCAGTACTTTTAATTACATAGAGTACGGATAATCAATTTTAATTGCATTGGAGACGAACCAGCTTACGGCTGAAAGTCTCCTTAATAAAGGTAACTAACTAACTAACTAACTTTAAAACGCATTAATTACTTTAATCTTGCATTTTAACTCCTTCGCACCGGTTCTTTGTATTGCGGCTGAGCTACAATTTTTTCGAAGGATGTTAAATTGTTGTTAAATTAAATTAAATTCGAAGGATGTTCAATTTTTGATTTCAATGATAATAAGAACCACCCTAGTATTAATTAACACCAAAATGAACGTTTAACTCTTTAGAAGACACTGTTTTTCTAAAGCTTCAATTTCAGGTTCTAAAAGCCCACACACATTAGATTCGTTTGCGTCGCGTTGACGAAAATTTTGACGGTTAGGCAATAGATTTAGCTGTCACTTTGCCGCAACGCTTCAGATCCGGATCTAATAGGAGTGGCCCTTAAATGTAACTTTTCTGTGGAATTCCCATTCAGGCACAGTGAACATTTTTGTCTTTCTAAATACGACTATGCACCTAGGAGGGGGATTCGAACTCGAAACATGTGATTGTAAAACCGAACCAAACACAAACTGTCATCGTTACCCAAACAGTTTGATAATGCTTTTCTTAAAGTTAAACAAGAATACAGAAAGCGGTATTGATATCTTGCGTAAAGTAATGTATTGAAAATTGTTGTTTTGAGCTATCTTATTCAATACTACAGCATTTCTTAAATTTCTTCATTGAATAAACCATATGTATAATAAGATACATATTGAATTAATCAAGGTTTTTGTCACAATCTTTGTTGGCAAAATAAAATTCAATGCAAAAAGTTTGATGCAATGGCTTCCATAAGCGTCAGAATCATTCATTTCAAGTTTTAAGAGGTGAATTTCTATAATGATGCCAGGAATGTGCTTGATCTAGGATCAATGAACTATCTCGAAGACATTAATTTGGAGTCAAGAGCCGTTAAAATAAACATAATTCAATTTGAAAATCATCATTAGATAAAGGGTGAATTCGATAAAAATGGCACACATATATAAACAGCTTTAACATTTTTACTATCATACCAAATGACTTAAAATTTTCAGAGAAGATTCTATAGTACTCTCTACACGTGAAAAATATGTCATGATTCAAATACAAGCTTTGAAATGGGGTTTATTCAAGAAAACAAAAGGTTGGTTTTTAATGTTGTAATTTATGTGTGTGCCATTTTTATCGAATACACCCTTTACAACATTAATCCCGTGTGTACTATATGCATCTCCCTCCCAGCTTTGGGCCATTATGCATTGTGCGTGTTACAAAATATACAAAATTGATGCATTGGTTGGTATAGCAAACTCTTAATCAATAACTGTAGAATTGTTTCAAAGAATACAAAGTTGAGAGCCGGTAAAAACCCAGGAATAAGAAGAAGAAGAAGATACAGTCATGCATTTGAAAAGAGAGACATGTTATTTTACAACGAAGATTATTTCTGTGTACAAATTACCCGGACAATCATAGGCTCTTGAAATGAAATCGAGGCAATGCATGGTATTCGTCTTTCGGTGGTAGTCTGTGAGGATGAAACAGAACAAAAAGGAAATATGTAATTTCACTAACTTGAAAATAATGTTTCTCTCATCGCTGTCCCCAACATATTTTTATTAATTTTGTAAATTCAAATTTAGGGTCAATGAATTCAAGCGCCTCAGCTCGCTGCCAAATTCGTTGTTTTAAAAACACTTGCGTCGATTGTTTTCTATTTTCAGTAATCAAATATTAATTAATATGTCAAGACATTGTACAGCTGCACGTACAGCAACAATCTATCCCCTCTCTCTCTCTCTGATTAACTTCTTCGCTTTTTTTTTCTACATTTGGGAAACCCACAATAGCTTGACTGAACGAACGGTGATGATAACTGTGCCAAGTTGAAGTGAGTCCGACCTTTCGAGTGACCTAGTAGCGATGCGCACACGATCTGTCTTTTCGCTTCTCAGCTTCACAATTCATGCTTCTTGAAGTTACATACATTGGGATCCAACTGCATTTGATAATCCGGGGCCTGACGGCGGCTCCATAATCGTAAATTATAAAATGAATGTACTTCGATTGATATATTTGCTTCACTTTTTTTTCGGTTCGGTATGTCGGTGATGCTATAAGTAATGAATGGAATCGAAATTTCTCCCGGCAACCGTATATGAGTGATAACCGGATGATGATGCTGAAAGGAGCTTTACACAATGATTGTGCGTTTATTTTTTTTGCTTTTCAGCACTTCCAACAAAGCGTGACTTGATAATGTTGTGAATTAGAGTATATTTAATTTAGCATGATTGTGTTAACGTTGGCGTGGCGTCAACGGGAATCATTAATCGGAGGGTCCTGGCCCGGAAGCCTCGGGCTAATTCAACTGAAACTGATACTTGACTTTCGCCTACCTGCCCTCAGCTCAAGTCAACCGAGCACACCTTCTTTGCTCATCCGTATCCTTTTTCCTCGTTGCTCTGTTTTTGCCTATATGTCAAGTTCAATTGACGTGGGATGGTAGGCACGTGCAGATCATTAGCCACGTTGCCAGTGGCCGCGGGAAAAATATTGAGCGCATGTGAAAAGTATCATCTTTCCGATCATCGTGTAGGGTGGCGCATCCTGTTTGACCCAAATGAATGTATTAGAATTTTCTTCTGTATTCCTCAGTATTGTAACATTTTCATGATTTATTGCTTACGTTGAGCCAGTTTGTGGTCCGTCACCCTATTGCTCGTTTTTTTTTCTCGCTCTCGCGAAAAACAGACAAGATGATGAGATGATGCACAGCGGTACCGGGAGACTTCTATGAAAGCGATGGGACGGATGGATTGCCTTATCATCTCGCAGCAGTCCCTCGAACTAGCCACGCTAGGGAGATTGATGATAATTAATAGGTTATCAGCTATCATCGCCGGGATCAAGTTGATCAGGCACTGCGCATATTCTGTGTCGGGCTTGGGGAAAAATTCAGCGAAGCGATACGATGGAAGGACAGTTAGAGGAGACTCTGTAGGCGAGGAGATAAGTGCCTTCTGGGAGAGCACGTTCCTGAGCCAATAGGTTTCGTCAATTTTTTAAACGCATGTTCTTAGTGTAAAAACGTACGTGGGTGACAATTAAATGGAAAAAATGCATTTCATAATGATTCCAAAAAATTACTCAAACATGAAAATATACTATTTGGGGCTAGTAAAAAACTATGTGGACAGTTTTGGATAGATTTTATAACCCCTCTTCCTTTCTCCTACGTGATCATTCATCCATACAAATTCATAAAAATGTGTATGGATCGTAGACACTCGTCAACCTCTCTTTCCCCTAAACTGTCCACGTGGTATTTGGGAATCCTTTTTTTTTTGCATCATACTCAGACTCAGAAGCCAGTGGTTCTCAACCCCTCTGACTTCGCGTATTGGTTGTCACCAAGGTTTCAAATACTCATTTCAGATAAAAATAAATGTTTTTTTGGAATTATAAATTAATTAGATGTTGATCATATTTTTCATTTGTTAGATTCAAGAAGCGGTTGCAAAGTATGTGTTTGACACATAAAACTTGTCAGTTTCGCGGTCTGAGAGTCACAATCAGCGATTTTATTAACTATCACTCACTCAATCAGTGATCATGCAATCGCTGATTGTAACTCTTAGAAAGCAAAATTGACAGGTTTTAGGTGTCAAATATATACATTGTAACCTCTTCTTGTATCTTACAAGTAAAACATGTGATCATAAATCTTTTGATTACATTATTCTGAAAATCATGATTCATTGTTTTTTTTTTTAATTATCGGACAGGTTTGGGCCGAAGATTCTCTGAATGCTATGACATTTCGCCTAAAAGTATATACAGGCAAAAATTTACATGAATTGTCAAATTGAACGAATCAAAAATTAAAAAAATTGAAGTGTCTGATTTCCCGGGAAACTTTAGTTAAAATTTTCTGATTTTCCCGAACATCACATACTTTGAAAATTCAAAACTCATGAATCAAACATTATAGAAGAAATGTTTTATAGTAAAATCACACATTCAATTCACAAACTGATACACACAGCAAAAAATAATTTTAATATCACATCAAAGTGGATGCACTTCACTCGTGTCGAAAATATGGTGCCAAAAAGGACAAAATTATCATTAGTACAGTTCAGGAACTGACATTACGCTGCTTTTACTGCATTTGTTTTTTTTATGGCCATACATATTACATGAGATTTTCGACATGATTGAAGTGCATCCTCTTGGATGTAATATTATAATTATTTTTTTGCTGTGTAGTACCTCCTTTTCCCCATCAAGAGTGGCCATTTTAGAACGATCCGAGTTACACAGAAAATAGTTGGTATAAGCTTTGTTCCCGTACATGTTTTTTTTTTGCTTTTGCTGTAAGTTGCTGTAAGAAGATAATACAGGAATCGCATATTTGCACGGTGGATGGTTGCCATTTACCCACCACCATTGCTCAGCAATCTTCCAACCAATTAAGCTGACTTTCTGTGACTGGCAAGTTTGTGGTTGACCCTAATCACATACAAAAAATCAACTCAATTGGTTGAAAGATGGCTGAGAAATGGCGGTAGGTAGACGGCACCAGCCATCGCGCAACTACTCTTTGTGTGACTCGGATATAAAATGGCCACTCTTGATGGAGAAGAGGAGGTGCTACCGATTGGGTAAGTTTGTGATTTGAATGTGCGTTTTTACTATAAAACATTTGTTCTACGATGTTTTGTTCATGAGTTATGAATTTTCAAAGCATGTGATGTCCGAGAAAATCAGAAAATTTTAAATAAAATTTTCCCAGAAAATTAGACATCTCAAATTTGTTGAATGTTTGATTCGTTCATATGATCATAAACCACTCCGTTTGGAAAGTTCATGTAAATGTCTGCGATATATAGCGCATGCTAAGGGACTGTTCATAATCTAAGTAGACTGTTTTTAGAAGTTTTAGACCCCCTTCCCCAATCCTCCATACGTTTTTTTTATTTGTTTATAGACCGTAGACAATGGCCTAAGCCCCCCCCCCCCACCATTCCTATATAAAGTATCTACGTGGTTTATGAACAGCCGCGTGGTCATGTAAACTATGTCAACGTTCTTTAAACAAACGTCTGTGATTTCTATATGGGGGTACACTTTGTAACTCAGCTGCCCCTGAACCAATTTCAATAATTTTATCACCAATCGATCGGAAATATTTCTACGCATCTACTAAATTTAAGACATTATAATTTGTAAATTGCACTACACAAAACACAAGCTCTCGCTGCAGTTACAAATAAGATTTATTAAATAAGACCAAGTAGTCGTACGTCACCATTGCGTACAACCCCATAGGGCTATCCCTTGTAGTTTCTTAGGCATTTTGCTATGGCGCATACTGTAGCAAATATCTAGCTTTAATTCATTTATGTAACAAAATATGAAAAAAAAAAATTAAAAATAAACCAATGCATGCTGTGCGAAACCAAAATTCAATGTACGGATCGGAATCCGAACACCTCATACAAAAAGTAGGCATTTTTATTAGATGGACGGATTTTTATTCATTTTTTAGATGTACGGATTTCGGTCCCGCTCAGTAGAAAGCAATTGAAAGAATTAAAAAAAAAACAATTTTCGCCTTACAAAATTTGCAAATGAATTCTTAATGGTACCTTAATCAAGCAAAATCGGTTCAAATAATTGGCCATTTTAAGACCTCATGTGACAACTTCACGGACCCCTGGGAGTCTACCAACCACTTTTTGGTAGTACCGGCTCACATGCAACAGAATAAAAAAAAAATCACATGCATAGCAGAGCGTAGTTTCGATCTACGGACCTCTGGGTTATGGGCCCAGCACGCTTCCACTGCGCCACTCTGCTTCCATATAAATTTAATACGAGTTTATGTATCGTAATTGCACGGAAAACTTATTATGCCACATGCAGGGTGATGCAAATTTTATTTTTAATTAATGCCAAAAATTACAAAATATTGAAAAGACAAAACAAATGAGTTGTTTATTCGTAATTTTTTTTTCTTCTCTAGCTATTTATAGCCCAGATAAGCTCAGATATGTAATTTATCATAGCTCAAAATAAATTAACTTTTCGAGTACCATACTGAAAATTGAGACAACACTTTGCTCCAACTAATGTTCCTCGGATATTTTCCACCGTTCTCTTATGTTGTTATCCAATTGTTTGAAAGGGTATTAGTTTTCCTTTTACGAAGAGGTGCCGTTGTTTGCGGATGGAGTTTTAGGCGGTATTATTTTTCCTTGATTCCTTGTTACCTGGTTTTTGGTAATGAAGATATCATTTGTGGTCAGTATTCTTACTACCAAAGATCATGCGGCTAGGAATTCGGAAAAAGGAATAGTGGCTAAAACTCCAACCGCAAACAACGGTAACTTAATAAGGCTTGTTTGCGGCAAAATCTGGACACCCCTAAACACATAAATCTTCTGAAATATCTCATCAACGAGTGAAATATTTCGCATAGTGGTGGACATATGTCTGTTCTTTCTGAAAATACAACCTTTG